ATCGCTATTCCGGATAACTGATTTTTCCGGTTTTCTGAATCGCTACAAAAGGCCGTTTTTTTATTGTTAAACCCAACTAAAAAAAATTTTTTTTTTGGAAATAATCTTAAAAAGAAGAAAAAACGATGAAGTAATACACTAATGATTATTTCCAAAATGATAGTAAGGTAAACATCTTTTAAAAAAGAAAGAAAAATCCTAAAATCTTATGAGGAAAAAAAAATTTTTTTTTTTTTAAAATGGCGGAAAAATTTATCGAATTTTGTTCCGGTTTTTTGGTCTTCTGATTTCCGGATAACAGGTTCTGTACTGTACTTTCAATCAAAACAAATATTAAAAGAACCAGTATGGTTCAGTTATTAAGTGTAAAAAAATAAAAGTATTACAACTCTCAATCAGCAAATAAGTATTTTCATTAATATATTTTTCTACTTACTAAGTTTTGACTTTTGCTTGTCATACTATGTCTCAGAGCCCAATGTTACTTATAATAATATTAAAAAAGGAGTTTGTGTGGCATTTTTTTAATAACTTCACAGCTGTTACTGCTGCTAGGATGCTCTGATATTTGAACAGAAGATGCAAAATGCAATTTTAGCCCTCGATCCATAAAATCATTCATCAATCAATCAATAAAATTTAAATTAGTATGTTCAAGAGGAACAAACAAAACCAATTCTGTTTCTCCGATTATTTAAAAAATATCAGCGATGTTAAGTAATGCCTAGCTCCAATGAATCAAAAATTAGTTACTCTTACATATTTTTAATTGATTTTATACTTATTATGTAAGGAAAGCTCAAGTAAAAAAAATTTGAATGATATGTGAAAGTACCATCATATAATTATAATATCTAATGCTACTTACACTTTAGAAATGCTTTTCTATAAACCTAAATGTAATTGAAATAAATAAAATAATAAGTTACGAACTAAAATGCAAATTCTTTGGCAAAATGGCTTATTTATGGTAAATTTTGACTACTATCAGGAGTCGGCTGTGATCATTAACATCATTTTTTGTTACCAGATGATATTGGCATACCTGCCAACTTTTACGCATTTGGCGTAAAATTTTATTTCTATATTTAAAGTGGTAGTAAAATGTCTGCTTTCTATATATTCCTTGCGTTTATAAACTAAATTTATAATCTTTTTGATCACCACTATTTTTAAAAAAATTAAGTACATATAATAACATGGAATACTGTTGTGTTAGTCCGCAGAAGTCCTCTCAAAATACAATGAAAGTTTCGGCCTAAAATTGTAATTTGCGTTCCATTTTACTACCACTGGGGAAAATTATCCTCGAAAAGATTAAAAGTTGGCAGGTATGTATTGGGTATTGTTAAACACTACTTTGATGAGTTGAACTTCTATAAAAATGTTTCTGTGCTAAATATAATAACTCAAAGTAACTGAACTAATAAAAACAATAACAAAGAAATAGAATTATTTAAATTTTTCTAAGAATGACTGTAAAAAATAAGCCATGTATTTTTCTGCAAGATTTTGTAGACCAGGAGCACTCAGGTGTGTGCTACGGCGCCTCAATTCATACTAAAGTAAAATGAGGGATGCTGCAAGGTTTCCAGGATTTCAAATCTAATACTAATCATTTAATAGCAATCTGTTGCCATTCAAAAATAAAAGCTTTAAAGAAGGGTGAATTGGAATTTTTAGGAGTGTAAAAAATGCACACACAAATAAAAGCTCTCTTATTTCTGAGTATTCCAATTACCAGTATTCCTATCTTCATATTTACACTGTTGCACAGAAATTTTAATGAAATAAAGATTATATGTTTAAATTGCTGAATCTCACAACAAAGTTGTGAAATACTACTAAGAAAATTCGATATCCGACTCCAATAAAACAAAATACACCATTATCAGCCACACCTTAAAGAAAAAAGTTAATATTTCTTGGAGCATAAAGATTAAGTTAAAGTTATTGCGCCCCATAATTAAAAAGGTATTACACAATACTAAGAAGAAGAAAAAAATTTATTCTGCATAAGATATCCTTAACAAGAGAGACATTACATGACACCGTTACCAACACAGATAGGAAAAAATCCAGTAGATTTTAAGAAATAATATAAATTTCCTGATAATTGTTGCAAAATATATTAAAAATTTTACACTTAGTTAATTTCAGGGATTTTTATAGTCCTCAAAATGGAAAAACTGCAATATTTTCCAGTAATGATTTCACATTAAATAATCATGAAATGTTATGCATTAAGTTTATTCATAATTTTGAATAGTAATAGGCATTTAATTCATCAAAGATGGTTAACTGAATTTTAAAAATGAGGCTCGCTTTACTACATATTAGTGACACTTATTTAAATATTCAAGCAAACAATAACCTGCACAAAAATATTATTTCAGTAGGGATTTTTTAAAAAAATGTACACAATTTTAGGGAATTTCATAAAATGTATAAAAACCAGGAGAATTTTTATTAAACCAGTAGACCGTAAACCAGTAAAAACTGGCAAAATTCAGTAGTCTACTGAAAAATCTAGTACAGTTTGCAGCTATGGATCAATATATAATATGGGGCAACTGCAAATAAATCCTGAAAACTACATGTAAAATTTAAAGACATATATTTAAATTTAGAATAACATAAATAAGTGCAAAAAAACACTAAAACACTCATACTAATTAAGTGTGAGTTAAGCTCTTACATCAAGGGCATTCACATCCAAGTTATCATCACAAAATATTTCTTCACAGAGTTTGCAAGCAGTCATATAACGTTCACCTCCTAGAAGTATGATTCTTGCTTCTGTAAAGCCATTTCCTAGAATAGCATCTTGATTGATTACAGAGTGAGCCACTTTTAAGATATTGGCCTCAAGAATGGTACAAAGCTCAGGACTCAAATTTTGGGTGGTCAACATATAAAGAAGTAATGAATGACAGAATGAAAATGCCTGAAACATTCAAATTATTTACCTAATTTAAATTTTTTCAGTTAAGCTTAAAAGACAAAGAGATTTTTAAAAAATTAACAGCATATGAAATATATTTATTATAAGTTTAATTAATGCGAACTTTTTTTTGCATGATATTTCAAACAACAGAACTATGCAAATAGCAAAACTTTTATCAATTTGTACCCCTACCATTGCACGACTTTTTATTACTCAATAACAAGTTAATTTAATATAGGTGACATCGTAACGAAATAAGTATTGACAACGAAGAAAAAGTATTGAAATTTAAGTATTTTTACCATAACACTATCCAAACAAAATATCAATACTGCTTCAGATATTGTTACAAAATTTCATTTAATGTTTTAGATTCATGCTATCAATAGTAATATTCCATTATTGACAATGATTAGCGTTTTAGTAAGCCCCATTTGCCAGTATCAGTATTTATTTAAGTAACTGTAGTTGGCAAAAGCTGCAATTCAAAAAAATACCTCCCAAAGTTGAATTTAGTTTATTAAGGATTAAATAAATCAGAATTTACTTATAAAGAGAATTAACACGGTAACTTCATTTAACTCGATAAAGGGAGAAACAGAAAATATAATTTAAATTTTTTAATACCTGCAGCATTCAATTGATTTCTAAATGCTGTAATGATTTGTCAAAGTCTTTAAGGGTCATTGTCAACTAATCATATTGCATGTCACATATGGCCCAAGAACTGCGTGTTTTAGATTGTTATGAAAAATAGAAATAAATGTAAATGAAATATATCTTATTGAGCTAAATATAAACAATTAAATAGAAATATTGATAATTTAAAGCTTAAGTATGATTACTAACCAATACTATCCACACAAAAAAAAGTATGAATAGTATTGAAATAAAGTATTCATACTTTTTCAATATTACCAGCTTACGCACAAATAGCTCTAAGACAGGCTCAAAATTAACTGTAGTCTATCGGTACGGGACTACTAAAATAGTACTCGGAATATCATAAAATAATTTATTAGTAGTACCAGACCAGCAAATTGATATAAAAGGAAGAATTGCCGTTAAGGTTTTTTTAAGTTTCTTTGATCTTGCGTTACAACTCGTGTTAATTGTGAGCATACATCACTTAGCTTTTACATTTTTACAGAAACTCACTTCATCAATTTTTTTTTTAAATCTTTATGAATAGGTATATGGACAATTAGTACCTTTTATACAGGTCCTTTGGACAAGTGAAAATTTTTTATTAATTTCTATCCCTGCCTAAGATACATATCGATCAAAGAATGATAAGAACTTCACAATTTAATATATATATTTAAAAAACCGGTGAAAAAAAGTAAATTTAAAAGTGAAGAAATGTATTCAATTTACATAATACAAAATAAAGCTAATTTAAAATGAAAGCAAGATTTACAAATATTTAAAATAAAAGAAAGTTTCCACGTTAACACAAACATTGTTATATGAAGAAAAAAAAGTTTCGCATGAATGGAAAACAAAATGTGAACTTCAACTTACATAAAAATTATGATGATTAGGTAATGAAGTCAATGTATCAAAGATGAATTTGCATTCTTTTTCACTTAACTGGGAACGACAAAGAACAGCTAAACTAAGTGCACTGAAAAAGAAGAAAAAAACATTTAGTTAATACGGTGAAAAATTAGGATATGAAGATGAATTTGACATAAGCACAAATAACAAATCAGAAATTATAAATATTATTAAAAATTAATATTGTTGAATTTTAATAATAAATAGATAGCACATAATAAATAAATTAGAGTGCTGCAGTTACACATTTAATAAATTACTATTAATAACAATAGACTAATTATCCCCAAATTATATGAAAATAATAACTAGTAATTGTATCAAATTAAGCATAGATAACTTAAGAAAAAATAAAAACTTTTAGTATTTAACCCATTAATGCCCAAATTATTTCTACTTAATATATTTCAATGAATCTTTCAAATCTAATTTATTATAACCTAAGAGTTTAAAACTTTAAATTTAAGCAGATTTTATATTAGCATAAAATTGCAGTCCGTCCTCATTTGAGGACACTGGACATTCCCGTTAGAAAATAATCTCTCTTGGATAAGCATGCAAATATTATGGTTAGTTCTTATTTTAAATGTCTATTTAATTTTTGGGTATAGAATAGCTATAAATTGTATCACTCCTTAAAACTAAATATAATTTTTACACTTTGATAATGTTCGCAAACATTATTATTAGTATTATTTTTCTTAATTTTTGAATTACAAAAAAGGATCAATATGAAGATAACTAATGCAAGTAAATGAATAATACCATGTAATTTCATTATATGTACATAAATATAGATAGATATTTACTACATATATATTAATACATATATAAATACTTAAGTACATAAAAGAATTAAAAATACATAGAATATTTAGTATATGAAAGCATTCAAAATATGCATTGAAGTATATCCTACTAAATAATTGCTCAATTTACTTTGAAACTTTGGAAAACAAAGTATGCATGAAGTTACGTTGCATTTCTTATTCGTGGTTTTGAAGTGCAATTTTCCATCTAACAACGTCTTCGCCACACCCTTTTTTCTATTGTTTTGTCTAATAGGAGCGTACTTCACTGCAGCAGCAGAGGTTGATTTTATCATTTGTCGTCTACTTGATCTAACTGGCCTTTTTTCAAATAAGCTACTGCAATCTCCCCTCAAATATACTTTATTGACATCTGCTTCTTACTCTCTTTTTTGTTAAGAGTTTTATACAAAATGTAAGCATACTATACCAACATGTCTATCATTCTTGTAAATAAACACAAATTCCCTTTTTGCCAATTATTTATTAAGTGTGCTTTTCTAAGAAGCAGGTATGTTGATCCCCACCCTCATGAAAGTGTTGTACTCACGCTTGATTTTTTAATGTGGTACTCTATTTTTCATTGCCGTATTACAGGTACTCTTTCACCACCACATTGTTTGCCCCACAGAATTTACTTATTCGAAATTCATTACAATTGTAATTGATTTATTGTCATTCCATCCGAATTCTACTCATCAACCTCAGGAGGAATTGCCTAGATTTGTTTCAGAACAAATATTGCTGAGCTATTGTAAGAAATCCTATCCTATTACAAGAAATTTATGGGATATAGTATTGCTTTGAATTTTTGAAGAAAAATACGGAGATTTCAAAAACATGTACAAGGAGAAATAATTTCCTAAAATAACAGAAATAATTTTATGTAGCGTTATATGTTGAAACATACTCGTAAAAGAAAAACTGTAATGAATAAAATAATTTGCTTTCATTTTATTTGATATGACTGCATAAAAAGAAGAGGCTTGTGAGAGGCTAGAAAAATCACAAAATGGTGATTCAAATAACAAACTAAATATAGCAGCATATTTATTAAAAATATTGTGGATGCGTTGATAGTGCTGCCAACTATCTTCCCAGAAAAGAAAAATTATTTTTAAAATAAAAATTTTACATAATGTATTACTGACTGTCCTCATTTGAGGACAGTGGGCGTTAATGGGTTAACCAATTTAAAATATTACAAAAAATTGTACAAAACAAAAATTTTAAAACTGAAAAAATCAATGTTTTTTTAATCAAGTTTATTAAACCTATAAAGTAAATATAGTAGTTTCTAAGTTGTATAACATTATTATATTTATAAGTCAATTAACATCTAAAATGTCTGTTACTTCTTGTTTCAGCAGGCATAAAAGAGATAAAAAGCTGCGACAAAATTTAACTGATAAAAATTTATCCTCAGATTAAAGATAGAGTAAAAATAATAAAACCACTACCTTTGGCATCTTTTAGCCAAAGTATTCTCTCCTTGTAGAACAGCACACAATTCTTCAATAGATAATTGGTCGTCAATTTCTTGCAAAAGTCCTTTATATTTTAAAGCATCTTCAGACTAGAACAAAAATAACAAATAGTTTCAACAACATAAAAAAAAAATTCCAAACATGCATTGTAAAGAAACAAACAACTCTAGTTCAAGTCTGTTTTAACTTCATAGCCAATTAAAGATGTTCTTAAAAGTATACATTTATAGACATGAAATATTGCTCTCATTCGTTTTTTCAAAACGAATATACATAGCGAATTAACTAATAAATAAAAACTTAAGTTAATAATTGATGGATAAAATTTGAAACTAAAACACTTGGCCATGAAGACATTCCAATTGTGTCTGCTGACGGACTCATGAAAGATTTAAATCAATTAGGTTTGAAAAATTATGTTTGAAACTTTCTTCTTTTCTTAACTTATGAAAAAGTAATAAACAGGAATCTCTTCAAAACAAGTGTTTTTTTAAATCACATACTCACTGCATTACTTCTCCAAAAAATAGCGCATTACACTAAAAAACTAAAGGAAAAAAGCATCTAATGTAATTTCTTCACTTATTGTGTGTTAATTCCGTCTATAACCTAAAGTTGTTGCTAGACAACTGGACAAAATGGAAGAAACTGAAAATGACCAATACAATTGTTTAACAATAAGTATTATAAAAATAACTCAAATTTAAACAAAATAAATTTAATATAGTAACAGAATTATTAAAGTTTTTCACTTTCACCTTTTTTTTTAAAAATATATATTTATTTATTAATCAGTTTTATGGAGAATTTTGAAGTCTATATATCATATTATTTAAGAGTCTGAGTATTCATACTTAACATTATTTGATTTAGTGGTATTAATAAAACTTGATTATATTATTTTAATAGCTTTTTATACAATTATAAAATTAAGTTTTACTTTACTCTTTAACCTAAAATATAGAAAAACTAGTCATTTTAATTTTTTTAAGAAATTCCAGAATTTTTTCTGCTTTTCCTTTTTTTCTTATTTAAAAATGAAACATTAAGCAGCACAAAAATTAGTCTGATTGTTTAAACTAGCTTGCAATTATGAACCGTTTAAAAATTTTAAATTATTATTTACAAAAAAAAAAGTTCTTCTATTTGAGTTGGATGAAGCCTATTTTTTTTTCCAGAAGTTTTTCACTCAGAAAAAAAACATGCCATCACTGATTATTAAATAATGTGAGCAAATTAATGTCTCATAAATTTAAAATAAAATAATAAACGACACAGGTTCTGTAGTTTTTTAAATTAGATAATGTAATTATAGAAAGAGATCAAGTCTCTCAAAACTTATTTTCATCTACTTGTTAATTACATTATGTTTGCTACAATTCACAGTTTAAATGGGAATGAGGCGTTTTTCTAAATTGCTTAACAAAAAATAAGCACCTTTTAATATTTATAAGCACTTAACAATTTTAATTCAAAATTCTAAAACATATAACTATTATTTAAAGAGGCTGTCCAGTGTATTTTTTTCGATTTAAATAAAAAAATATTTATAAAAGCACATTCAACAAAACATTAACAAGATTAATATTATTAATTATACCGAATTTATAGAGATATGTAAAGAATTAAGAAAACTTATACAAAGTAAAAAATTCGTATTACAAATGTAAATTATTGACTGGCCCCTATTCAATTTTTATTAAAATTTGTTACTTGGTTCAGTATTTCTTTAATGAAATGATAAAAAAAAATTAAATAATTTTGAAACGTAAATATGAGTATTGAGGCTAAACATTTTTGTTAACTTTATTTATTTTTACACTTAAACACTTTATTCATTTTTGAGGCTAATTATTAAATGATCCCTAAACTCATAATATTTAAAAAAATCTGAGATATTTGAATTTTTTTATTTCTATTGTTCCTAAATCAAATCATAAAGATATGAATAAAAGTTTTTCGAATGAATAACTTAAGATTTTTTTAAAGTAGTGAAAGCCCTTCACTTCATACCATTTCTCTAACCTTGATTTCTTTATTACCTACTCAAAAGTCAATTAATAAGAACAATATGATAAAGTAAAGTTACTCACATTATGTAAGCAATTTTTTTCAAAAATTAATAATGAGAAATAAAAAAATAAAAAACAATTTATAATATTCTAAAAAAATTAAATATTGCAGGAATAAATTACTAAAAACTAATAATGATAAGTAAGAAATTAAATTGAACTAACTGGAACTTTATTTTCCTCAGGTGCTTTATTTTCATTAACAACATTTTCATGTTGATCATCTTCTTTAACAGCTGTATCAGTTTTATTTTCATTTTTCTCACTTATCTTTTTCTGCTCATTATCAACTGTAGAAAATGGGGCTGTTGTTTCACAATGCACATTATTGTCCTTTGCAGTTAAGACATCAAATAAAACTTCAGCTCTTTTTCTTGTAGTTGGACGATTGTCAGCCATCACTAGCTACAAAATATAACACTAACTATAGGAAAAAAATCTTTAGAAGAAATAAGATGTATTAGTTGATAAAACTTTATTATGTTACTATAAAAAAAACTACATAATTCAATTAATTTATTATGTAATAAATAATCTTAATTTAAAGTGACATTTGCCTTATTAAATTAATATTTTTATAACTTTATACTCTATAACATAGGTACTTCAAACTTTAAAACATTTATATATGTTGTAACTAGAATACTAACATACAATTATTAAAAAATATGTCAATTGAAATTCAAATAATTTAAATCATATTATTTTTACTTAAGAATCAGAAGTCGTTATGGAGAAAACTTCAGAGGAAGGCATCGGCTCACATTGATTAATATAAAAAATAAATTTCAAAAAAATATATAGCAGTTAGCTCAAAACTAGCTATGATTTTTCTTTTTTTTGATTTTGCTTGATTTTGTATTTCTGGTGTTTTTTTTTTAAATTTCTCATTGGCCACTATCTACATGTAGCTAAAACTATGCAAGCATTATCAAGAGTTTACTAATACAGAAATTTTCCTCTTACCTTCATAACCTCACATACAATAACTTAGGTTCAAATAATTTTTTCTACAATACGTTGAAAGAAAAAAAATATTGGTTTAAAATTAAAAGTGATTTTTTTTATCCCAAATTCCATTTAAATTTTAGGAATAGTTGACATAGAAATAATATTTTTTTTTAATAAAACCTTTACAACAATTACTTAATTGAAGTAAATTAAGTGTACAAATCTGCTTAATTGAAGCAAATTTGTACAACTGGCCACATTTATATTTATTGTCACAGGCAAGGATATCCACTGAATGGAAGTTGCCATGTCTATTTTAGGGAAGGGGTAAATACTTTTTTTTTTTTTAATAATTTATACAATAGTATAGTTTTAAATCTGAAAATTACAATGAAGGAATTTTTTTATTATTTCAGAGGGCATTTTTTAATATTTGGTCGGGAGATAATTTTTAAAATCTATATTAGAGATGGATATTTTTCCGTCCAAGTTTATTGTAACTTCAATATGCAACTGTACAATCACAAAAAATTACAAATAAAGGTTTATTTGAGAGGAATGCAAATTTATTTCGGTGGTGGATAGGTGGGTTATATTTCAAAATCTTTTTTTGGAGAGAGATACTTTTAATATTTTTTTCTTATTCTTAGTGGGGATTATTTTTTATAAGCCACGTTCATTATATCTTCAATTCAAAATTTACACAAGAAAAGCACAGGTATATTCAATAATTTCATGATTAAACAAAACAGATTTGATGTAAATATTTATAAGATAATTATTGATATAATTGAATTAATTTAAAACCTCTTTTGCTTACAAGTAAACAAAACAAAACATTAGAAAAATAGCCTAGGGAGAAAAAACAATAGAAAAATAGCTCAGGAAAAAAAAAAAAAAAAAAAAAAAAAAAAAAAAAAAAACAGAAAAATATCCTAGGAAAAAGAAAACAAAGAAAAATAAAGTATCAGAAAAACCACAGGAAAAAAACTTCAGGACACAAAATTCACCCAATATTAATTAAATAAATATTTTAAAATTAATTCAATATATTTATATACAAGGTTTGAAATTTGAGTAAAGGAACTTTTCACATTTCATACTTCGAAATATTTTCCATTTATATTCTTATAGAACTTAACAAATTTTCTAGTGCCAATGATTACATTTACTATACTGTGATTAGACAATTACAGAAAATTTCTTTTCAAAAAACAAGTGATTTGTTTTTAAACTACTTACTGTAATAAAATATTTCATCACTTTCGGTAATCATTATCATAAATTCCATAGGTTGCAAATTTGCAATTAACAGCTTGAATTGAATTAGCCCTTAAATAGATATAGCTTTTAAAGAGGACAACGCATCACCACTTTGCAGGGGATATTCCTGTATCGTGATCTGTCACGCTAACTAGAATTGCCAAGGTGATGAATAGATTTTAAGCTTGCAAATTTAAAAAAAAAAAAAAAACATGTAGATGTTTGCGTGTGGGTGGCAGCAAGTAATACCTTTTGAATTGGTCCCTTTCTGTGATGTTTTATTTAGTTTCTGCTGCCCAAAAGTTACCAAGACTTAGCCATTATTCTGCCACATATCACGATACAGAAATCTCCCTACTTTGCAAGTCAATTTTGCAAAGCGATCTAAATTAAATGTTTTCCCAAAATTATTTAATTTTGTCTACGACTTCAGAAAATAATATTTTTCAAAATATTTCTAACGAAGGATTGAATTGGATCAAATACTGCTAGATTATTCTGCCACAGATCTCAACAAGGAAATATCTCTACTTTACCTGTCAATTTTGCATAGTGATTTAAATGAAATTTTTTCACAAAATTATGTAATTTTGTCTAGGGCTTCCTGAAAATAATATTTTTCAAAATATTTCTAACAGTGAATATATAAATTTAATATTTATTTTCATTGCTTACGGAAAAGGGAGGTTGAGGTAGATTTTTCAAATTTGTGGGGAGGCATGCTCCTATCAGCCTTTGGGGGGATGCGCATCCCTGATGAGTGGAAAATATTCATTACAAAATGTGAACATTCAGATATTAAAAAAACATTGTAACTTAAATGTTAATAATTAGTTTTACACAATCTAAACATAGTGTCTGGAAAACAAACAGTTAAGGCCTAATTATTTTTTTAACACAAAAGTTAGTTATTTTATTCTTAAAACTCGAATATGGAACAAAATTGTTTCAGCTTAATTTGAGTCATTAGTAAATTTTTTTACCATAAGAAAATTTCATACTAATCTAATTGAAGTAAAAAGATATTTATGAACTTATTTATTACTTAAAAAATAAAATTTATTTGCTATTTGATACGATCTGAAACCAAAACAAAATTGCGTAACCTTCCTAAAGAATAATTCCTGAATGCGATATTTTGCAATTAGGCGAGCGAAACTTGCGTTTGAAGATCAGAAAACGCATTTATAAATAAATGTAACACAAATTTTTAGTAAATGCAATAAAATAAAAGCAAAAACATTTAATTTACCACCAAAGGAATAGCAACTGCACAAACAACGGGTATGAACAAAAAGAAAACAATCTAAAGAAAGTTACAGCATTACTGCCAACTAAATTTTTTAATGCGAACAACTTTTAAAACATTTGATTTTACGCAATTTAAACTAAATTTTGCAATGACTTCAATTTATTTTAATATATTTTTTTATTATAAATCTTTGAAAAAAATATCCTTATTTTTAATTACATTCTGAAAGAATTATACTCCCTGTGGAGATTGTTATTAATTAACTTTAACCTTACTTATCGGAGTACTTTTTGTTTACATACAAAATATCCAGTACCCACATGAAGAACGAAAGACAATTAATTAAAATTCTGTTAGCCATTAGTCAACTTTAATTTAATTATGGAGGTTATTCCTCAAGATTGTAAAAATAATCCTGCTTGTCCGCATGGTACAGTATTTTAAATGTTTTATCCATCTCATTTTAAACAGATCAACGAAGTTTACTTCGTTGTATTCCGTCATTACAGCTGGGCATAGTAAAGGCAGTTTTTATAATAATTTTATTTCAACCTATTTACATTGCCCCTATTTTGTTCTTGTAAATTATTATGAGGTTAAACCGTAAGCATTTGTTTTTATGATCTGATTTATTTATTTTTTTTTTTGTAGGACCATGCTTGCTTTTTGAAAGACATTGTGCAAATGGTAGAAAAACTGGAAAAAGATTTTTTGCTTGTTCTGCCTGTCGTGATAGATCAGTTTGCAGTTTCTTTCAATGGGCTGATGATGAGCTACTTGCTAAGAAAAAGTCTGTTTGGAAAAAAATAAACAATGCTAGCAAACCTCCTTACACCCATGAGGAGTGTGTGAAGTAAGATTTCCCTTATCATCAAGTTTTTTTTTTCAGTCAATCCCTATTTTTTAAGGAATTATTACCGTATCTTGATCTGCGGCAGAATAATGGTCAAGTCTTGGCAACATCCAGGCAGTATCCCACACGGGAAAAACTACAAAAAGAACATTACAGAGGAGGACCAATGAGAAAGTTATAACTCGTAGCCTCTCCTGGAAAAACCTCTATGCCCATAAGCAGAATATTTTCAAATGTTCTGCAACAGGGCTTATTAATTTATACAAATGTTCTGCAAGCATTTCACAGCGAAAAAGGCTTCACTTATTCAAGATACAAATTGTTCTGCAGGACTTCCTTTTTTCTGCGACGTACGTCACAGTTTTAGGCACTTTATGCTTCTGGGCCTCTATGTACTATTTTTTAAGAAATTGCATATTTTAAACCAATTGGTACCTTGGCGATTGTACTTGATATGGAAAATCGTGATACAGATATATCCCCAAAACATGATAGAAGGGAGAGAATAACTTGTAGTCACTCCTGGGTGAATTTCTACTCAGTAAATTTTTCTAACCCCAAATAACTTTTGATCTTTTAAAAGAAACATGTAGATGTTTGACCAAGGGTGGTTACTAGTTATATTCTTCAAATTGGTCTCTTCTGTGACAATTTTAAACTTTCTAAACTAGCCGCCTTCTTTTCCTTTTTTTAAATTAAAAAAACCCTTTGAAGTTTAAAGTCTATTTTTGCCTTGGCAATTGTATTTAGCGTGGCAAATCACAATACAGAAATATTCCCTTTTTTAATTTAGGCCCACAAATTTTAATGATAGAAAATATTTCCATATGGGTTCCTGTTCATTCCAATTGCAATTATCAAGGGGAGGAAGTTTTTTATCTTCCAAAAATTAAAAAAAAAGTGTAATAGATTGCCTGGAGGTTTTAATTCCTTGCCTGACATTGCTCGGAAGTTGCCAAAACTTAGTGTCAAGGTGCCATAATGGCACCTTGGTATTCTTCCCTAATGTTGAATTCATTGATTTTTTCTGTGTTAAATTTATTAATTTTTCTGAATTACTATAATTGATCTTATTGTTTGCATCATTTTTGTGTTGCTTAAATTCTTTGACTCTGTTTTAGGCGTCTCTCTGTAATTCAAAATCTCCCAAAATCAAAAAGAGACTACTGCAGAACTTGTTCTTCCTTAATTTTACCAGAAGAAAAGAATCATCAAAATCATGAAAAACTTTCTAGTGTAACTCCAGATCAGTTACTTCAACCTACTTCTCTTTTTCAAAGTCTGCAAAACAAAAAGGCCGAAGCTGTAATTATAATTATTTTATTTTTTTTAAAAATAAATTTATTGTTAATTTCCTTCAAATGTCTATTTGAAATCTCTGACAAAACTAAAAATAAACATTCTTCCAAAAGAGTGAATGAAACTTTCAAATAAAAAAATTTATTATTGATAAATTTATTGTACCTATCCTTTGAACAAATCTTAAATTATTGACAAAAAAATATAGTTTTTAATATTAGTTTCATTAGCATTAAATAATAATAATTAAAAACAGGGATAGAATATAAAGTTATGGGAAAAGATACTTTAGTTTTGTGAAAGTAATAGTTTATAAATATTTTCCCCCTGTTATCATAAAAGCTTGTCATTTAATGCAAATGTGAGTTAAATTTAAGGATGTTTTGTTATGTTCTATGTTATGTCACATGTTTTTTCTTGCTGTTTCCTATGTTATAATGCAGCCATGAGTTTAAGTTATTCATACATGTATACTTTTTTTATTTTATTTTGCTTTACTTTTATTACTTTTTTATTTTATTTTTTATTTTAATGAGAAAAAGTCACCAAAATGTATTTTTGTATGAAATGTTATAGGAATGTTTTTAAAAAAATTGTCATCGAAGTGTTTTTTTTTTTTTTTTTTCCTTCAACTGCTTTGATAGTCTCAATATGACAATCCCCCTCTTAGAAGGTGAGTATCAGCTCCTAAGCCACGAAACATGACCTGAAATAGGGTGATTTTGTAGATTTTTCAAGGTATTTCTCAAACCATGCTTTGTATTAAAAAGTATAATTGTAAATGTGGTAAATCGATAAATTTTTACATAAAAAGAGTGCCAATAGGAAATATTTTGTTTTGTCTATGCATGCTTGACCTATTATGAAAGTTTACCAAAATTGTCCCCTTTTTAAGCAAATTTTATTTTTTGCCCCAATTTAACTAGCCCCTTCGACCTATTACAAGGTAAGCGAAGATCGAAAAAANAAAAAAAATTGTCATCAAAGTGTTTTTTTTTTTTTTTTTCCAACTGCTTTGATAGTCTCAATATGACAATCCCCCTCTTATAAGGTGAGTATCAGCTCCTAAGTCACGAAACATGACCTGAAATAGGGTGATTTTGTAGATTTTTCAAGGTATTTCTCAAACCATGCTTTGTATTAAAAAGTATAATTGTAAATGTGGTAAATCGATGAATTTTTACATAAAAAGAGTGCCAATAGGAAATATTTTGTTTTGTCTATGCATGCTTGACCTATTATGAAAGTTTACCAAAATTGTCCCCTTTTTAAGCAAATTTTATTTTTTGCCCCAATTTAACTAGCCCCTTCGACCTATTACAAGGTAAGCGAAGATCGAAAAAATTTTACAGAAAAGATGATTTTGAATAATGTGATTAATTAAAATTTCTTGAAAACAATTATGTCGCAACAGATTACATATAAAAGTTGAAAATGGGGAAATTTTGTAGTATTGTTAGCAGAGTTTGATAGAAAGAAAAACTTTCTGTCAGCATTGATTAACTCCTGTGACTTAGTTTCAATCCTTTCGTTGCCATCTCATTTTCGTAAAAATCACTGATTTTTTTAAAAATGTCTTAATTTTTATGGAACTCTTGGTTCATACCACAGAGATGAGTTTGGTTTAAAATCAAGAAGCTGAAAATCGAAATCCAAAAGTGTTATGTGTAAAAGCACTTCTTAAATAATTAAAAAAATACCTGAAGTTTAATCTAGATAAAAGTGTATGTATAAATCCTATAACCAGAGAATGTTTTTGATGTCTTAATAAAAATATTGATGCAAGATTTTTATTTATTTATTTAAGTGTGTGAATGCGAATCTCAACGATTTTTAAATCATGAGAATACAAATCTCAACATTTACTTATAAAATCAGGTAAATACGAATCTGAATGTTGATTTTGCAATATTTGAGTATGTAAATGAATTAAAAATTTTGATTGGAATTTTGAAATCCATGACATTATTTATCTCCTAATTATTTGTTATTGAATGTGAACAAGATTTTTGTTTCAATATAATTTGTTGTTATTATTTATTTAACTTAGAAAACTACTAAATAATTATGCTGCCTATCTGTGTAGATATGTTATCTCCAGTTGTAAGTGTATGTAATTTTTCCTTTGCATCTTTTCAGCAATATTTCTTCTCTGAAAATACAGTGAAGTTTGTCGTAACATTATTGGAAAAACTTGGATTCACCAAACTTCTGCTCATTGGCACTCCTAAGTATTCATGTGTTTCACATAGAAACTTTTTTACTTTTTTGATATTTATTTTTATTTTATATATTTATAAATTCAATAGACTGTAGCCCCTTCAATAGACAATAACTGGGACTAGGTTCAATTTAGATATTTTTAATATTGGATATTTAAAAAAATAAGCAAAGGCTGCTTTCATTAATTTTATGTTGTTTAAAATCAGGCATAAGTTTCTTCCAGAATTTCCAACTTTTGGAGAAAATGTTAAAAGTCTCTTACAGTACAGAACCTGTTATCCGAAAATCGGAAAACCAAAAAACCGGAATGAAATTCGATAAATTTTCCCACCATTTTTTTAAAAAATATTTTTTTTTTCCTCATAATATTTTAGGATTTTTCTTTCTTTTTTGAAAGATGTTTACCTTACCATCATTTTGGAAATATTCATTAGTGTATGATTTCATCGTTTTTTCCTTTTATGATTATTTCCAAACATTTTTTTTTTAGTTGGGTTTAACAATAAAAAAAAACTGCTTTTTGCAGCGATTCAGAAAACCGGAAAAATCAGTTATCCGGAATAGCGATGGTCCCGATCGTTTCGGGTAATCGGTACCCTACTGTGCTACATAAATTTCTTGTTTTACTTTATTGTATTATTTTTTTCTCTTTAATCATAGCCCCGCAGTGGACTGATCTATAAAACACGGCTCTCAATAGAATACCAAAGTCAAACTTAAAAAGCAAGGATCAGGGGGCAAGTGGGTGACCACTTTGATCAGCCAGCAAAGGATTTGCTGTACCCGTCCTCAATAAACTGCCCTATCAGAAACTTCTCCATTTTGCACACATGTCATCAAGCTACCAAAACAGGGGATCCATCCCCTCTGCAGAGGATCAAAATTGTGATGGCATGTCTTTAGATCATCCTCAAAAATGTTTTCTAGACCATGACCAATAGCTTATTCTACAGCTATAGTGCTCTGTAAATAAAGTACTACTAATTTAATCATATAAAGCTTAACAGTTTGTATGACAATGTTTACATATAATTTAAATTAAAAAAAACTTAAATTATTATGTAAATGGTTTTTATTGGAGCAAAATAGTTTCACACATTTTTATTTTTAAGGATTAGAGTTGACAGGGATTTCCATACTTTTTGATCTTTATCCACTCTCATGTCTGTTAAAATGACTTGTATTTCCCAGCTGAGCACCTTTTTTTTTCCTGTTTTAATTATGATACTTCATAATTACTTTTCGTGTTTCTGATTGTGGTAGAACTTCGTTCAGCAGGATTAATTGGGTCTTGTCCCAGTCCAGATAATCAAACATCCGAATAATTTAAAAAAGAAGAACCCAGTCAAAAAAAGCACATCAAAATTGTACTTAACACTATTTAAAAAACACTATTTTCGTGAAAATGTAGGAATGAAAATGATAAAACTCTGCATTTTGAATAATCTTGATACCAGTTACTTTGGTTCGTCAAGTTTCTACTGAATAACACAAAAAGTAAAAATGTCTTAAAACTTCAAAAGTGACTGAAAGTAATAAAATTATTCTGAAAATCATGTACTTATTGAGTTGTTTTACTGTTAATTTTTTCCACTTTAATGTATTAGGTGTTCAAAATAAAATAAAACTAATGTTTTTTATATGATATTGACTGATATAGCTGGATAAGCCAACTCAATTATTCAGGAAGCTATTGTTCTTTAAAATGATAAGAACAGCAATTATACATATTTTAAATGGGCTTAAAGTATCCATGCATTTTATTGCTTTAATAAATATCAAGAACAATGTTATATAATCTGGGAATGTTTATATTTCTTATAATAGTGCTTAAGTTTTATAAAAACTACAAATAGTTTAATCTGGACACTTAGCCTAAGGCCTACTCCTCTATCTCATAAAATTTAGCTGACTAAGCACATGTTGAATTCTATTGAAGTAAGGTTGTTACTAGTAGAGATGTTACTCATATAAAACACTCATATTTTAGTATAGTTTGGCTTTTTTTTTTCCAACAAATTTGTCAAAAGCTTTATAACTCCTTTATCATTGAAAAGCTTTTTATTTTAAATCCTCCAATGACTTTGCAATTTATGAATTTTTATCTTAGGAGTAATTGTTGGGGTTTTTATATATATATATATATATAAAAATTANGCTGTTTTTTTTTTCCATAATCACCAGATATGCATAATATGCACATCATAACAGAATTTTTTTTTAATATTACTAATTATTTTAAAAAAATTAAAATGTCAAAAATTATCCCCTTTTACATTACAGCCAGTATTTTTTTTGTACTATAATATATTTTAAAAATAAGTCTGCAAAAAAAACCATATTGTAAAAGTGGAGAAGAATTCAAAAGTGATTCTTATAAAAATATTTATCAAATATTAGCAATGAAATGCATCGAAACAACTTAGATTTTAGATTTACAAGAAAATTATGTATAAGTTAAAACATGGTAAGTCAGCAACTAGGTTTTATATCTTATCAATGTAGAGTTTTTTTTAAACTTAAAGCACTTTTTAAAAAGAATCAATGATTTTCGTACAAATTTCATCAAAATTTGATGGGGACAAAAGGGTTGGAACTAGTTATGATCGTCAATAAATTGCTTATAGAAAGTTATTAATTAAGATTTGAATATTATATTGAGAAATAAAAAGATAGAAAAGTTAATACCTGTAGAACATAATTCATTACCAATTTTATCTGTGATGTCAAACGTTTAATTTTCTGTATTCTTTATTGTTGATTTAATTCTTCATTATTTTTATGAGACAGGTGTGTTTTTTATTAATTTTTAATATTATATTGCTGTGTTTATTTGGAAATTAAATATTCATATCTTTTATTTTGCGCATTGGATATTTGCATTGATATATTTTTGTAAAAGAATATTGCATTTAGCAAATAAGTGTTTTAAAAAAAATTAACACACTCTTCTTTTTTTTTTTAGAATTCATGAATATATTATGAAAGAAAAGGATGCTTTATCCATATCATCACTACTAATGGATATTGATCCAAGATATGTAAGTAGTATCAAATCTTCAGTTAGTAAGTTTCTTTGTCATTGCCTTAGGAGTGTGTGTTTACTTAATTGTTTTATATTGTTTTTTTCTCATTGTAAATATACGATAATAAAAAGGCTTAAATAGTCTATTTGTATCATTTTTTTAATTTCGGGTATTAGTAAAAACTGCTTTAAAAAATTATTAATCACTCTAAATTTAATTTTAATATTTTAGAAATGATAACCATAGTCCAATTCCAAAAAATAATTTGAAATTATTTATTTATGCCTAACTGACTCTATGCAATTAATTATGCATTGCTTACCTCTCTGAAAGTACTTTTCTGGAATATTGTGTTGGCGTTTGCGTAAGTTATAAAAATTCAGCACATTTGAGCACTTAGCCTTTAAGCAAATCCAGCACTTAGCCTTTGAAGGGTTTTAATACAATCACTTCATTCAAAACATTTTCATAAATGTAAATACTGTTTAAAATTTTGAGATCTTTTTTTATGGACAAAAGAACTTATATATCAAGCAATAGATTGAGTAAAAGTTAATACAACTGAAAAATTAGTTTTAGTTTAGTTCTACTTTAGTCATTTTTAAATTTTAATTCTTTTATTTATTTATTATTATTATTAATTTATTTTTTTTTTAAGAAAATTTCAATAATTATTAGTAAAATTGAAATGTTTAAAAACAGATTAGTTTGAAAAACATTTTCGTATTTATTATAAATTTGAGAAGAGGCTTTTACCATAGGGCAGGTTTATTGGTGCAGTTTTTTGTTTTGTTTGGAGAAAACTGTAAAAAAAAAATCTTTAATCCAATCAATAAAAATATTCTGTACTTTATTTATGAAAAAATTATTTTTAAAATAAAGTGGGAGCTAGTTTATTTATAGTGGAAAAATCCATTTAAATTTGTCCAATTCCAGTTTTATTCTCTTGTTGAAGATACTAATTCTCATAATTCCTTTGTTTACATCTTCATAGCATTCATTTCCAAGCATATAGTACATAATAATAAAAATTTAAAATTTTTTTTTTTTTTTAATTTTTATTTTGGAATTGAATTTATTATTTGAATAATTATCGCAAGTTAATCTAAATGAAGGAAGTGAGGATTAAATTATTATAAATAGTTGGTGGTTAGAAAGAACAATATGGGCATTATAAATTTGCTTGAATCCTAACTTTCAACGCTAGGTTTTCAAAACTTTGTGTAAATATATTAAAGAAAGACTATATATTTATAGAATTTGAAAATTTTTTAATCAAGGTCTTTTTTGAGAAAAGGATTAAATATAAATTTACGAGTCAAATAATTCTAAAACACTAGAAAATGTATATTAATGGCTTAATTGCGGAATCAAACTATAACTTAATCTATACTCATGTTTTTTATTTTGTTATTATTTTTGTTATTTATTATAAGGAACTAAACATTCCCTTAATAACTTTAGTATTGATCATTAATTTTGTTTCAATTATATCTTCATAGAGATGATATTTTATTGAGAATAAGTTAAATTGCAATTTATTGTAATTAAATCTTTAAAAAAAAAAAAAAATTCTTGAAGATTCTTTTCATTACTAAACATTTTTTCTTAAAATGTATTTAAGACAAAAAGTTTAGTTCCCTTGTTTTAAAGACATAAAATATTTTATATTAATTATTGCTTATTTTTTGCTAATAATTCTTCTTTAAGATTTTGTAATGATTTTTTTTTTTTTTGTAAATTTAGTTGCAGTTTTTCAGTCCAGAACAGTTTGTTCACTACAACTTATTTAACAATCACTACTTTGGTGGCGAGGAGTGTGAAGATCGAGTTAAACAGTTTCTAACTGAATCTAATGGTGGCAAAGTTGCAATTTTGATAGATCCTCCATTTGGTGGCCTTGTCGATGCTATTTCGTACACACTACAGACTATAAACAAATTGTGGCAGTCGTCTAACTCCAAATCAGGCTCAGAAACTGTTCCCTTGTTGTGGTTTTTCCCATACTTTCTCGAGAAGCGAATTGTCAAAAACTTCCCTGATTTAGTAATGATGGATTATAAAGTAACTATATTTATTTGGTATTTATAATCATTCACTTTTTTATTGTCCACTATAATGTTAGAAGATCATCATAATATTTGTTTTCTTTATCTTTTTAACTTCAAAAGTTTTATCCTAAATAAATTTTAAACTTAATATTTTTTTTTTGCTTGAAATAATGTAGCGTAATATTTTCATAATTAATCATAAGTTGAAAAGATTCTTTTTTTATCTCAATGTCACGATGTCATATGTCCGACTTATGTCATTAATCTTATTTCTGTGAGTTTGATTAATGTAAATAATTGATCCATTAAGAGTTTATTTTTCGTGACTTTTGCTGATTCTTATATTTTATTTTTAAAAAAATGTGTGCACCTCAAAATCCTTTTTATTCTTATTTCAAAATTATAAGAATTACACAATAAATTTTGTTTTTAGATAATACCCTTAACATTAACCCATAATATTCAAACTCAGCCAGGTATTATATTACAAGGTACTATAGTACCATACCAAAGGAAGTTATTTTAGTCAAATTAGAGGGCCTACAATTTGACACTATGTGTAAATATGTATGTATTTAAAAGAAAGAAGAAAAAAAAGTGTCCTCTAGTTTAAATTACTAAGGGTCCTGGTGTGGACAAATCATTTCATATTTTTTTTACACCTTTAAAAATTGTTAAAGGGTGTTTTCCTTTTTATCTAAACTTAAATAATAAAAATTTTACTATCTAAAATTTTAAAGTTCAGTTTTTTATTTAATTTAATATAATATCAGATATGTTGCTTATTGCAATGAAGTAATTTTTATTTATTTTGATTTTTTAGGTGGGGTATGTAAACCATAAAAAGTTCAGAATGAAGCTTGATATGAAAGATTCACCAGTTCGTATTTACACTAATATTCCGCCTGTTTCCTTCAAGTTGCCTAAAAATGAAGGCTATGGGTAATTAATTTAGTTTATTTCAAGTAAATAGTTAGAATGTGAAGTTTTTTTTTTTTGTGCATTTATGCGCATTTATATTACTCCTAAAAAATTAAATGATTCTTTAATAAAAAAGATGTATATATTTAATTGTAAAATAATTCTAATTAATTAATTTTAAAATAAAGAGAAATTAAAACTTTTAAAATGGTTTAATTTTGCCTAATTGCACATTGATGTGTTACTTTTGTTATATTGTCATATTTGTCAGATTAAATCTTAGCACTAAAACATAGCATTTTGTTTTAACTTTTTGATCTATCTTATGTATTGTCATTCATCGAGCTATGGTGGCACATTGGTTAAAGCATCAAGCAGTCATTATGTAGTGGCTCAAAATCTAACCAGCTGCAGGATGATAGATACAGCTTATGTTTGAATTAAAGCCAACCAGTATACAAAGCTGACTACTTTGCCAACATCATTAGAAGAGCCTTAACCTCTATGTACCTTTTGGCCAACAACTGGCTGTTGTTGACCCAGTTGCTGTTTTAAATATTTTGCTTTTATTAATTTAATTATAGATGAAAAGCAATCTATTATTGATTGAGGAAATTTTTTGGGGGAAAATTCAATTTAAGAAAATTATAGTGAAATACAAAAAGCTGTTTCAATGTTCGGGATTAGTATTTAATATTATCATTAAATAAGCGATGTGTGTTAATAATTTGCACCGATATGCAGCTGGCTATATTTCAAGCCACCATTGGGGATGAAACCTAAGTCCTGTGCCATAACATCTCGATGAATGACATTACCGAGGCATAATTAAATGATTTCATGATAAAATTTAATTATGATTTTCAATACACCTCCACTTTGCAATCCATCTTATTTTTCTTTTTGACCAAGCAGTCAATGTAATTCTCATTGTTCCTACTTTAAGGGATGCTATATTATGAGAGAAATCCTTCATGGCAAATTTTCAATGGCCTATATTAATACGGAAAGAGGAAGTTCAAGTAAATTATAAAGTTTCAATTGCGGATTTTTTTTCTCAATATTAAAATCCAACTAAATTATGGCAAGAGTACACAGCAGGGAAGTAATCCCGTAAAAACATTGAATACACTTTGCTCTGAAGTTTAAATTTTGGCTATACATATAGAAGTGAAACAGAATTTGTCATGAAAAATTTATCTCGTGGTATAGTGTCCTGTTATTTAGTTGACTTTTTTCGCATCTGCATGTTTTTGTGAATGTACCTTCACTTTTTTGGTACTGATGCTCGCCTGTGTCAGTTTCAGAACTCTTTGTTGTCACTAATCTTTCATTTTTCTTTCAACACAAAACTGCCTAATTATATATATTAATTTCTTTTCCTAAATAAATTTTTATAACTTTAATGATTTGTAAGTCCCTATTATTATTTTTCTTGATATTTAATTTTTAGTATTATGTTGAGCCTGTAAAATTTAATTAAAAGTATTTAACATTGTTGATAACTTGAAGTTTAGTAAAAATGTTATGCCTTCAGCCTTTTGTTTCATTTTTCCCCCTCTAATATATTAAGACAGCTGACTAAAGTCTATTTTCTTGTGTAGATGTTAAATTTAATTTTTCATTTTTATAATTATAAAATTTTCATTTCAGATTTTGCACCAAGTGCAAAAGATATGTTTTTAAAGATAATTTGCACTGTGAAAAATGTAATGCCTGTACAACAAAGGTAAGACATTTATTGTTTGCTAATCTTTTATTGGATATACGTAAGAATACCTCTTAACTGTATTTTATTTAACATATTTGTGATTATTGTGTATTCATCTTAATAAAGAAAAGAAAATCTTAATGTGACTCAACTCAACCATGTTTGTTAATGAGGTTTGGATTCAAATGTTTTCTTCTTAAGCCCCTGGAAAATTAATTGCTTACTTAAATACTGTTCTTTGCAAGTTTTTGATTTTTACAAATCTACTTGCTTTCTTTGTACCTAGTCTTTATTTTAACATTTACACATACCTCGCTACTTTATTATGCAATCATATACATATATTTTTACGTAATATATTTTTTTAAATTTGTGTAAAGAACATAATTCCTTTGATATTTCATAATGAAACTATTTTACTCTAATCAATCTTCTTCAGATTGAGTGAAATCCTCTCCAACCAAACCTTTTAAGTTTAGTTGAACCATTTTTTCTCCCTAAGTTTTGTAGTTTTAAGCTTATTACTGACCTTTATGTGGTTTTGATTCCAATGAATGATAACTTCTTTTTTTTTTTATTTCATCCAATTAATTAAGTGGTGTTAGTCATTTTACGTTTTTTCATTTAACCCTTCAGAACAGTGATTATGTGAATATGATCCCGCAAACTTTCTTCGTTCTCCACTGTGTCACAAATGAAACAAATCTTTTTTACTCTTGTGGTTCAAGATCACGCATGCAGGGTGAGATCTCAATACGGTACTCTCGTGTTGCATTGCTTATTTGTAAGTGTATTTATTCTGGTATGTAAGTGTACGTATGTATATTCTCAGAACATGCAAACATGGACAAGCGCTTTTTTCTCATTCTGCTAGTCTTGAAGGGGTTAAAGGAAGTTGTTTTGAAGGTTAATTGCATGTTCTAATTTTATTCTCTTCAATGTCAACATCTATTTAAAAACTCAGCAGTGTAAGTCTTAATGATCGTATTTTAGACTTAGATTCGAATATGAGTGTTTGTCTCAAACCAAATTTTTACATTGAAGTTATAACATTTTTGTATTTAGGCAGGAATTAGGTTTTTTTTTATAACAAATGAAATGTATAAAAAGTGAGCTTTAAAAATATTGCTAACAAAAGATTGTTTTCATGTAAATTTCGTTTTTGACATTGAAAAGGGGTTCTTATCCAATTACCCTTGAAATAGCTGCAATAACAATAAAGGTTTCTAGAAATATTTGAATAGCTAACTATTTTTCTACTTGCATTTAACACATTATATAATACACTTAACACATAATATAATACTATATATATTATTAACACATTATATGCACTATTACACAATTTATATTAAATACTAATATATTATCCAAAAAGTGTTTCCTTAAAATTGTGGTCAGTCGCATACCTTCCATTTTTCTCCCAAAAAATCCATTTTCTTATGAGCAAAAATTACTAGTCTCAAAATTTATGAACATCTTGTATTTTCTATAATTGAAATAATTTCAATTTGTACAAAGTGAATGCCATAGAACTGTTTTTATAAAGCTTGAGTTGCTTTGCAATATTTTAACTGAACATGTTTTTTTTCTTCAGCATGGTAAGACTTATAAGCATTGTGATCAATGCCAGAGATGTGTAAAAAGCTCTTATGTACATTGCAATACCCATAACAAATGCTCTCCCGAAGTCCCGACTTCCTTGGAATCATCAGAAAAGAAATGTGCATGCAATCCTGGTCCAGAAGATGGAAATGAGGTGGAAAAATGTTTTAAATGCTTTGGTTATGGCCATAGAAAAAGAGATTGCCCATCAAATCAGCAGAGGTGAATATCTAACGTTTTTAATCCATCCATTATCTTCTGGCTGTCGAGTTTCTACAATACATTGTGTTTCTGCTTTTCATTTGAATATTTATTATAGGGGAAACGAATATGAAAAAGCCGTACTTTTAGTTTGTATTGGTTACAATCTTTATACGCTTAACATAGTATTTTGCCCATATCCCAATATTTATCCCATATTGTGTTATTTTAATCATTGCATTGTAACTTTCACTTATCTGTATTTTGCTTGCAGTAAGATTAAAGAACATGCAGTCAATATGTTTTATAAACTGAATTGAATCCTTAAATATCCTAGTAAGAATTGGCTATACTGTGCCAAACATAAACATTGATACATAATTTAGCCAAGTTGAATAAATGCTGCTATAAACTAACTCTGGCACAAAAATAAAAACAAAAGTAGTGCAAATATCTCTTACTCTGAAAGAAGTCGCCCTGAGATAGTAATTTTTCTTGTGGCAAACATCATAGAATATGATATTTGCCATAATCAGACATGTGAATGCTCAGTTTCGTTTTTGGGAAGTCAATAATGAATTTGAAATTCAAAAGCTAATACACATTTATAGATAGCTATAAATAAATTGCAAAAAAACACACATAAAAACATACGGAAGCAAAATATATATATTTAAATATATAAGAAGTAATTTTACAGTCTTCTGGAAAAATTTTATTTTAATAGAATAAACAGAACAACTATTACTTATTTCTTATTTTGACCCTTAACAGAACAATGCAGCCATATAAGTGACATGGCACTTTTGCATATTGAATCGAATACAACGCACATGATGACTAAAATCATTTTATTAATTTTACCACATTTATTGTAGTCATATCTAAAATAATATAATTATAATCAGTCATTATAGTTATACCTGATAGGAAGTAAACATGAAATGCTTATAGGATCTATGAATACTATTAACGGTCAATATTAATAATAACCGCTTCTTTTGGTCACACGGGTCTGTCCACACATTTTGTAAAAGGTCCGTTTTTGTAAAAATGTGAAAAAATTACTCTTAATTTGTGAATGTGAAATAAACATTTACTCAGATTCTTTCAACCAGGGTGGCCTGCTTTTGTGAATTTGTGCAAATAGGGTCCTGTTATTGCAAAAAACTTTTTCAAGGAGTTTTAAAGTTGTAAAGAGATACAAGATTATGCTCAACACTGTAAAATTTTAATTTAAAAAGTTTAATTTAAAAAAATAAACAGTAATTACTACTACTAAATTAGAGATGCAACATGCAAATATTTGGTATTTAGCCTATACTGCTGAACGCAGAATATTCATTTGGGACGAATAAAGGAAGAAGCGTCTGCTGAAGACTTACTTAGTTCATTTATATCTGTCTTTCTTTTCCCCCACTCCCCTGGGAAAGGTTTATTCAATTAACAAAACAATAATGAAGCTAAACAAATTTGTGAAGGGTGCGTTTTTATGTAAAGATATTTTGTGAAGGGTCCATTAACGGCCCAAATTTCTTCTAAACAGACCCCTGGGTAATAATAACCAATGAAGTTTGGTCGATGTGATTAAACAGTTTATATAGCATTGGGGCATGGGTGTGCCTGTTTATATACGTGTTTCGGTTATAGAGATAAATCCGGTTATTATTATTACTAATGAAGTTAATAACAATCGCTTTTTTTAGTCTAAAGGAAAAAATAATAAGGGAAGATTTCGGTTTCGTGATCTGTGGCAGAATAATTGCCAAGTCTTGACAACTTCCATGCGGCGGGCCACGAGAAACTATAAGACATCACAGAAAAAGACCAACTCTAAGGGTATAACTCGCAGCCATCCCCAGGCAAACATCTACATATTTCTTCTTTTTTTTATATTTTATTATTATTTTTTTTTCCAGTTTAAAATAAATTTGGTGCTTTGGTGTGGCAGATCACGATACAGAAATATCCCCATAGAAGCGCGAAAGAATGACCTTGACTAAACTTCATTGGTTATTATTAATAATGAACAGTTAATGTGATAAATTTGCTTATTCACTTTAACCAGTTTGTTTAGTTATTATTAGTATTGACTGGTTAGTATTAATAATCAACTACTCACATTGACCGTACCATATATATATATTTAACTTTTTTCTGAGGGGAAAATAATACTAAGCTCATTGAAGCGTATCCCACCTACGGCAGGCATTCCTAAACTGCTGATACATTACTATCGATGCTGTTAGTGAGTAGATTTTTTAAAAAAGGTTTTAGATATGTTTTTGTCGAATATTGTTGTAGTCAAATAAAATTATGTATGGAATTTCTTGTTTTAAATCCTTTATATTTTCAAAAATAAATAAATGCATTGTTTATATTTTTTACTATTTCTAAATCTATTCATATGTTTTATATCTTCTAAAGCTTTATTTGATTATTTATTTTTCAGCAGGAAAAAGAAGAAACATTAAAGGGAAGATACTTGTTGTTAAATGATTGTTAAATAAAATCTTTTTAATGAAAATTCGTCTCATCAATTAATTGTGCAAGAAGTTACTCAGATTGTAACTTAATTACTTAAGTTTCGACTAATTTCAAAATGGACTTTTTATTTATATATTTTTATACTTTTTATTTTATTTATTTATTTTTATCCTAAGGGATTACAAAGCTTTGCTTACAAGTATAGGTGTAAAATACCCAGATTTCTATATCGTTTGGTTCCAAAATCCAATTTCAATCCCAAAATTCATAAATACCTGGATATTTATCGATTTTATAGGAAATTTAATGGTTATAAATTTCTTAAATGCTTTAAAAAATTATGTGTATTTAATGCACAATGAAGTTTTGTTTACATTGTCAATAGTTAATTAGTTATTTATTATGAAGAAAAATTCATTTAATCGAACAGATAAATTAATCATAATTCTAAACATTTGTGGTTTTTAAAGCAACATGTATCCAAGCAAAGTTTTGCCACAAATATATTTTTGAAATGCAAACATTCATTCAGGTTCTTAAGTTATTTAATTTAAAATGTTCATTAAGTCAAACTTTTCCTGAATATGAATAATAATAATGTCCAATGTGTTAAAGTAGATGCAACATTTTTGTGAGTTTTTACATTATTGTTACTAATGAATTAGCATAACGTTAGTAGAATTTTCAAAGGGGTGTAAAGTATATGCTAGCTTGAATGTTTAAATATTTTTGTATACTAATTTAAATGAGGTCGGGAAACTTCTACCCCTATTAAACAAAACTGCTCTGGGAGTTAGGAAAAAGAAAACTGTTTTTTTTTTCATTGAAAATTGTAATGAGTAGTTTAAAGCAAGAATTTATATATTTTATTCCTAATGATTAAGAGAACTGAAATGTAATATTTCTTTCTGGACTGTAGAAAGAGTACTCATTTAATTTCCATTTTTTGTAAATTAAAATCGTATCATTTACTGTTTTTCAATTGGAAAAAAATTCAATTTCTCAGGTACAATCGATAACTATTCGACCGATTTCGCTCAAATTTGGTATTTTACCATTTAAAATTACATTCGTTAAAATGCTGTACAAAATTGTATACCTTGCAATTCAAAGGTTTTTTGATTATTATTAAATAAATATTTAGTAAAAGCTGTATTTTGCCTGAAATCGTCTTTGGAAAAACAAATTTTATCATTTTATGCAAAACTTTTTTGAATTTACTTGAAAAGTTTTTGAGATATCAATTAGGCGAAAAGTAAAATTTGTTTTAATAACTTAAAGGATTAGGATTGGAAGAATATAATAAGGTGTAATGATTCTCACTTTTTATATTAATAATTAGACAAATAAAAACGCCTTCCATTTTGTTAATTTAGTAACAGAAAAATGCATATTCTTCAAAAGAAATTTTGCCGTTATAGTGGAAAGCTAATAATTTTTAACTAGTTATGAACAAAGAATTTTTGTATCTTAAATATTAATATTCTGAAGATATCATAACATCGTAATTCTCGCAACATGTAACAAGCTTTTACTGCATTTAAAATTTGCAAAAAGACGAAATGAAATTTTGATTTGAAGAATAAATATCTGAGCTTATGGAAAATGTACTAAAATGATATTAAACTAATTGTATATGTTGCAAAAAATTCCAGGAAAAAAGCTACAATCTTTGTTTTTTTTTTTTTTTAAATACATTTTTGAATTTTTAAACATTATAAATAGAATAAGTATTAGTCGAGCTAATGAAAAAGAAAAGGAAGGGAAATAAAATTTGCTATGTACAGTGTGTCGGAAGAAAAAAAACGCACCCTGAATAATTTTTAATCCCATGATCGGATCCTTATGTTCTAGGACTCATTCTTTATTGTTAGAGGGGGTCAACTTAAATATGCTAATTACTTAGTGCGGACGATATTTTAAGTTACGAAATCAACAAAAACGTACATTATTTGAATAAGCATACCCTTTTCTCTATGCATTCGGATTTTTGACTCCCAAATTATAGGGGGTAGTCGCAATCTAGGAAATATGGTCCCCATAGTTTTACTTTTTAGGAAGTTCGCCATATCTCGAGATTTTTTTAAGCGAATTTAAAAAAATTTGCAACGAAATTATGAAGTTCGTATATCCAAAAATAATTCCATGCAGAAAATATTTATTTTATTTAACAATAGTCGAAAAAATTTTGACTTGCAAAGTATAAAACAGGGATGAGATTTTTCCGCTTTTTTTCACTTTTATCTCTTGAATTTCAGCTTTTTTATCAAAAATTCAGATTTACTAAAAATTTCACTTTTTTTAATGAGTATTCCGCTTTTTCAGAAAATTCACCGATTTTCAAAGAGAAACAGAAAATTCAAACTACATAGCTACCAATCCTTTCTCATTTTTACTTATTTTAGCTATTTTCTCCCCTTTTACACGCAGCAGATAAGATTTTCCGAATTTTTTACCCGCCCTCCAGATAGATCCGATTTTTGTAGTTCAAACGACGCTGCTTCTGACAAGCCTTTTAGAGGTCCCAAGCCTGGAATCTGCTAATATCTCGATTCTTATTCACACGATTTTAATATCAAACATAGCTTTTCATATTTGCGTGTTGCGATTCTTATTCACGCGATTTGAATATTGTACGTTGCGATTCTTATTTACGAGATTTAAAAATCCGATATTGTGATTCGTATTTACGCCTTTTTAAAAACCTATGTAGCGATTCGTATTCACGCAAGTTTAAAATTCAATGTCTTGATTTGCTCATGCGGTTTATAATATCAAACATTGATTTTCGTATTTATACGTGATTTTAAAATAAGGCATTGGGATTCGCATTCACGCATTCTAAAAATTATGCATCATAATTCTTATTTATGCAATCTAAAAATTACGCATCATGATTCGTATTTACGCGATCTAAAAATTATGAATCGTGATTTGTATTTACGCGTTTTAAAAATTCTATATCCCAGTTTGTATTTTCTCATTTTCAAAATCGTATATCTAGTTTCATATTCATGTGATTTCAAAATCCATAATTGTTATTCATATTCACGCAATTTTAAGATCAACTATCGCGATTCTTGTAAGAAGTAAATTTTTTTTAAAATGAGTTACTATAAAAGTGACTGTTTTTCTAACGACGATTATTAGTATATGTAAGTGTTACAACATCAGAGAAACTGGAAGGGAATATATTCAAAACTTACATTCTGTGCTTGCAAAGAAGAAAAAATAGGATCTGTCACAAGATGTTTAACCTTTTGGCTAATCTCATCCCTGATAAAATTTTTTGCTTCATTTTTAAAGTATGTAACTTTGCATAGCAAAATACAATATTTGAGCAAAATTGGTTGAATAGTTCCTGAGAAATAGAATTTTAAAGAACTCGAATATTTAAAATTCGATTTCCCCGGAACAATTCAATCGCTTTCGCTCAAATTTTGTATTTTGACATGTAAAAAATTTTTTACCTTATATACCTTGTTACTGACATGTAAAAAAATTTTTACCTTATAATTCAAAATTTATTCGGCTGTTATAGTATTTGTAAAAAAATAATAAATATATTTAACAAAAATCTTTTTCTGCATCGAATTATCTTTGGATAAACATATAATTGTGTGCAAAAATGTTTCAATTCGCTTGAAAAGTTCTCAATATATAGTGAAATATGCAAAAAGTAAAACTAATATTAAGAGGTGTCAGAAACGCGAATGTGTCGGAAAAAAAGTTATGTTTTTTCAGAAAAAATAAGTTTTTGTGTCTGATTTCGTCACTTAAAATATCGTCTGCACTATTTAATCAGCATATTTGAAGTTACCCCCTCGAACTATTAAGAATGAGTCCTAAAATGTGAAGATTAGATCTAAAATTATTCAGAGTGGTCTATTTTGTTTTGGCGTACTGCAGATTTACAAAAAAATAAACAAGTTAAATAATTATGTGGGAATATTATTTTATTTCAAACAAAATTCTTGCCAAAAAATAAATACAATTTACGAAAAATAAGTAAATAATAACAAATTGAATAAAATTAAACTTATTGCAATACTTAAGATTTTTACTTTGTTTTACTACTGGTAATTATTCATACAGGTGATTTGTTGCTTTTAATGCTCAAACCCAAAGTTTTACAATTTTTAACTGCATTTAGAGTACAAGAGAAGTCCTTGGTAAAACTTTAGGACAAATTCACTTTGATGGAATACATCATAATTGAAACAAACTCACATTTGCTCTTTATATTAATCGAAGGAAAAAAAATATAACACAGTTAGAACGACGGAAATATTACTTTCACAGATCACATGATACTACTGGAGAATTCGTTATAATGTAAACGGAGAAAATTTCGTTACGATGTAAACTTACTATATACCTATCAAAAGAGTTGCTAAGCAGTTGTGACACTACTCCATCTCATAAATGGTGATTATAGTAATACAAAAATAATAAATAAAATTCGGTATAATAGAACAAATTTCATTTTGGTAAGATTTTTTTTTTTTTAAATTTTATCGACAGGAAGATAAACTTTTCAGACGAAGGTTGTTGTTGTAATTCATTTACGTCGCACTAGAACTGTACAATGGGCTATTGGCGAAGGTCTGGTAAACATCCCTGAGGATGATCCGATGACAAGCCATCACAATTTTGATCCTCTGCAGAGGGGATGACACCCCCGCTTTGGTAGCCCGACGACCTGCACGCGAAGTCGAGCACTTTACGGTAGAACAGTTTAACGAGGACCAATACCGCACAGCCTCGGTCCCTACGCAGACTGATCCAAGTGGTCACCCACCCGCCCACTGACCGCAGCCAGTGATGCTTGACTTCGGTGATGTGCTGGGAACCGTGTCTTGACGCTGAGTCCACTGCGGGACTATTAAAAATTTAAAGAGTAAATTTAACTTCTATCACTTTTTGACATTAAATTTTCATTTTGGCTTATTGAATTTAGTTTTTCTTTTTAACACATTTTCTTTTCTTCTGATAGAAAAAAGAGGAGGAATACAAAATAGGAGGATACTTTCTTGATGGATAGGGCCGGGGGAATCAGGGGAGCAATGGGGGATGATAATCAGAGGTGAACAATGAGGGATGATAATCAGAGCTAAACAATGGGCCAATAGCTCATTATGCATTTTAAAATAAAGCACCCAGGTTTTTAATTTTTATTTTTTAAATTTTTAAGTTAGAATCTTAAGTCGCATTTTTTTAAACGCCAATATCCTCTCTAATATCCTGATTTTTTTTTGTTGCTTCATTAGCAGATTGAAAATCAATCTGAAAAAAATATATATAAAAATAAAAATTGGGCTAGTAATTTCAAGTTTTGATGAGCGATAGTGAGCAGGAAGCGTTGCCTCTAGTTAATATAATGTTTAAAAGATATTAAAATATAAAAGTTAGGGTGGTATTAAGGTCGTTAGGGCAAATGAAGCGATTTGCTGTGTAAGCCGTTAATGTTGTTGATCAGCGATACAGAGCAGAGCGAGACGCTCCTTAAAATTAAGTGTACATCGTATTCATAACGATATATTCCTTTACCCATTCTTTAAATATAGTTTCATTAGTTTATATACATCGTAAAATGAATTAATAAAAATAAAGTAATTTAGAAACGCATGCGAAAGTCATCAGAGGCGGATGTTCTGGGGAATAAATGCAGGATTAGCGTAGAGAGTTAAGTTTGCAGAGTTATCGAAACAGAATTGTGTAATCTGTTTCGGAGGCAATAGTGATTAGAGGACAGAGCCGTTATATAATAAAATGGTTACATAAACCTCTTAGCTTCTTTTCCTTTCTTGCTCAGTCCTGAAATTAATTCTCTTGGCCACCCCGAACCTTTTTTTTTTTTACCGAAACCAAAAGTTTATTGTCCCGCAGTGGACTGATCGTTAAGACATGGCTCCCAGCAGATCACCGAAGTCAAGCATCACTGGCTTCGGTCAGTGTGCGGGTGGGTGACCACTTGGATCAGTCTGCGCAGGGACCGAGGGTGTGCGGTATTGGTCCTCGTTAAACTGTGCTACCGTAAAGTGCTCGACTTCGCGCGCAGGTCGTCGGGCTACCGAAGCCGGGGTGCCATCCCCTCCGCAGAGGATCAAAATTGTGATGGCATGTCTTCGGATCATCCTCCGGGATGTTTCCCAGACCGTCGCCAATAGCCCATTGTGCGGCTCTAGTGCGACGTAAATTAACAACAACAACAACAACCAAAAGTTTATATCAGTTTGTTTTCTTCATCGTTATCGTAAATGAAACCGAAACTTAAACTCCCAACTTCTTTCTACTGAAGGAAGGAGGAAGTTTGTTTTATTTACTTTATTAGAATTCCATTACTCTACAGATCTCTTTATTCAGCAGTTTTATTTTTGCTTAGTACTTAAACAGAAAAGAAGATAATTATCTATTGATGCCTGCACATGATTTATTAATGTTTGTCTATATTTGATTTTCGTGAAAGTGAATAAAGTAAGTTTCTTTTTATGTATTTTTTTATATTTATTTTCTTCCTATGAAATTGTTTATTAGCCCCGATGCTATATTCCTTGCAGTAAATTTATCTTTATTATGTTCATTGATATTGCAGAAATTTTTATTCAAATTTACCTGTTATTATATGCTTTATTTTAAACACATTTAGTAATTAAGTGTTGTACAAAAACTGAAATTTTGTTATAAATATATATATATAATTAGGGGACATTCCCCTTTTTCAATCCTGATCACGATTCAGCAGTTTTAATTTATTAAACGTTGCTAAAAAGTAATAAGTGTTCATTTATTCTTAATAAATTTATTTATAGGAAAATATTTAAAAATTATACTAATAATTTTTCATTTTTAATTACTTACACATCATTGTGTTGATACCTTGCTGAGATGTTTTTTTAATTTCTCCCAGGCTACCACCTGGAAGTCGCCAAAACTTTGCATAGATACTGATACAGAAATCTTCCTGGAGTAACCAATTGACAAATGGGGACACTAAAACTTCGAATCTAGTACTATTTTATGATATTAATTTTATGCACACGAATTTTTGACTCAAACAAAATATTCTATGAAAAATAAATTATGTATCAACTTAATGTAGAAAAGGAATTTGAAATATAAATAAATTTTTTTCTCCCAGAGTTAAATGTATTCCTTTTCTTAGTGACATCTCATCAAAAAGTTTGCCTTGATCATACAAATATGCCATTGCTTACTCATAATGTCTTCTATTTCCAATTAAGATTTTGGTATTAGTATATGCGCCAAAATGTTGACTCATGCAAAATTAAAGATATCAAGGACTTAAAGATAAAATCCAGGGTGCAACTCCTAGCACACCTCTACATGTTTGCGAGTTCATCTATAGAAGTTGAAGAACTCTACGACACCTAGGTACTTTCTGTTGGTATAAACGATTGCCTATATCAAGGAAGCCCCCAGAAATTTTCTCACCAGATATAACTTAGAAAAATATTCATTAAAATATTTAAAAAATTGTGCTTAAATATATTTTTTAAAATTCTAATATTTATGCATTAGAATTTTAATATAACAGTATCAATAATTTATTTTAGCTGCTCGACCATAATTTTTTGCCGCATAGTAACTCAAATTTTTAATCACATAATTTCTTTAAAAAAATCATAAAAATTATCCTTTATCGAATTTTAAACAGGGTGTGGTCAGACAAAAGAGCAAAGTTCCGCTATTTTATTTAATCATTTTATTCATTGTGTATTAAAATAATTTTTATTTTATTTACTTTTTTAGTGAGGTACATGAAGCAAGCACATCAATTCATAATAGTATTGGTAAAACTATTAAATTCTTCAAACCTTATATTCAAATTCTTTTTAGGCTCTCTCAAATCCTAATCATTTGTGGACTTAGTCATCTCAAAAGTTAAAAAAAATAAGGGAAATTTTTTTTAATAGTATATTATATTACTTAAATATTTATTTTACAAATTATCAAGTATATTTTATATTGTAAAGCTAATGCATATTTAATTTAATTATGGTCTTATTNTTTATTTTTAAATAAAATGTTTTGAAATTTTCGTTTGTTGCAAGATATTTCGCATAAGAATGGGTACCCCCCTAAACTGTTCCCGTACCCCTGGGGGTACATGTACCACACTTTGGGAAACACTGGTGTAAACGATTGCCTATACCTAGGGGGCACTCAGAAATTTTCTTACAGGATGCAACTTAGAAAAATATTCATTAAAATATTTAAGAAATAGTGCTTAAATATATTTTTTAAAATTCTAATATTTTTACATGTATGCGTAAATTTTTTTTTATAACAGTATCAATAATTTATTTTAGCTGCTAGACCATAAATTAATTAGACCATGAACTAAAATGTTAAGTTATGTGGCAAAAAATGGCCACATAACTTAAAATTTTAGTCACATAATTTCTTATAAAAAAATCATATAAAAATTATCCTTCCTTTAATTTTAAACATGGTGTGAGCAGACAAAAGAACAAAGTTTGCTTTTTTTATTTAATTATTTTTTTTCAGTGTGTATTAAAATAATTTTTATTTTATTTACTTTTTTAGTGAGGTACATGAAGCAAACGCATTAATTCATAGTAGCATAGGTAAAATTTAAAAATAAAATTTTTGTTCTAGGTATAAATTTAATCTTACATCACAAAAGAAAAAATTATAATTAATTAAAAAAATAATTCTAAACATTTATTTTAGCAAAGAATAATTTTTATTTCATTCAAATTCCAGGATTCCCCTTGTATGTTCCCTTGACTGAAATTGTGAATAGCAATTTTTTTTAATTTTCAAATCTTTTTTAGGTTTTCTCAAATCCTAAGCATTAGTGGGCTTCAAAATCAAAAAGAAAATCTCAAAAGTATTTAAAAAAAATATGGGGGTATTTCCATATTAGTATCTATTCGCACCAACTGCAATTGCTAAGCTGTCTAAAGTGTTTTTACATTTCCGATATTTTTTTATAAAAATAGGTAGATGTTTTTCAGTTGGTGGCTAACAATAGGCTCCCTTCTATAATTTTTATTTTAGTTTTTTGCATGGCACTGAGATTTGCCAAAACTTTGCAATTATTTTGGCGCAGAGATACCATTATGAAAATCTTTATAAAAAATTAGGAAATAATAATGACTTAGACTTATTTTAATGGGTTATATTACCTAAATATTTTTAAATTATCAAGTATGTTTTATATTATATTTAATTTAATTATAGCCTTATTAACACACTGATTGAAATACTATTTAATGTTCATTTTACAGGAATCTGATGTTTGTTTAATCTTCATTCTGCTGTAATGTTGTCATCAGAATTGTATTCGGCTATTGTCGAGGAAGAAAAGAAAGGTTTAAGTGAGACTAGTTTACAAAAGGCTGCCAAAAATGTTGGTGCTACTTACAATGTAAAAGCTTTAAAAAATGGCTTAGCTTATCTTGACTATAATAAACCTCAAAACAGATGTGCTTACTTATACAAGTATGCTGTCATCCATACGGGCCTTGTGAATAAATTTTTTCGTAAATTAGCTAAGAAGAAAGTTGTTCGAAATATTCTAATGAGGAAGAAAGATTTAAAAATCATTTGTTTAGGAGGTGGACCTGGTACAGATATCGTTGGTATTTTCAAAGCACTTTCAGTGTTTCCTTTTATGCATCAAAGAGTGAGTCAATCATCAATTCTAGACCTTTGTGTTGGTTGGCATAATAGTTTTAATTACATTATGCAGTATTTAATGAACGGGAAAGTAAAGGATGTGCCTCACACGTTTGTTAGAGATGATTTCCAAGCCTATTTCTTGGAGGTAAATTTATTGGAACCTTTGAGTCCTCAAGCTGCTGACGCTATTAGAAAGGCTGATATTATATGCATGGTGAAATTTGTTTCTGCTGTTTTAGGAAACAAAAGTTCTCTGAGTGCTTTGAAAGTAAGTTGAATGAAATTGTTGAAAATATATGAAGAAAATAATAAAATTTTAGATATTTAGATAAAAGAAGAAAAAAAAACAGTTTTAGTACAATAAGCAGAACAAATTTTCTATTTAAGCATTACGAATGTTTTCGGAATTTTTCCTCTTTAAATTTTATTCTATAGACATATATTTGAATCAATTCTTATTTCTAAATTGTTTCAGAATTTCTTCAGGGTGGCCACCCACCTGGAATTATTAGACAAATTTTTTTATACTTGAAAAAACCTGGAAAAATCATGGAAATTTGATGAAAACCTGAAAAAATCAGGGAATTTTAAAGACAGATTGGAATTTTTTTTCTTAATTTAAATCATGTTACCATCCATTTTATCCACTTTATTTAGATATAAATTTATCGTCAAACAGTTCAAATGTCATGAACTTAGCTATACTTTGCTTGCATTAAAATTCTCTCCATTATTACCTTGCTAATAAATCCCACCACATCTAATCAAGATGATATTTTAAAGAAAATAACATTTTAATAAAATGCTTAATATTGACTCTTTTCTTACTAGAAAGAAAAGAGCACACTGACCTGGAAATTTTAAGAGTTTTACTGGAAAAATCAGGGAAATTTGAAACCTGATTTGAGTGACCACCCTGAAGCAGAAAAGAATATTTTCTGTAATACTAAGGATTTATAGAAAAATTAAATATGCCTTTTTTAAGAGTATAAATAAAATAATTTATCTCAATACTAATTTAAAATAAGATAATAATATGGCTTAATAAAATTAATAGTATAAGTTATTAAAAGATATAACTTAATGCTAGTATAACTTAAATTCTTAAGTGTTTGTATTTTTCTGTAAGAAAAGACAGCAATGGACATTTTCCGGCTAAAAACCTAATTAAAAAAAAAGGGCTAAACTTTACAGGTTGATATAACACTGTCATTGCTAAAAGTAAATTTATTATTAGAATTTATGTCTCTTAAAACAGTTCAAGTTATAACGAAAGTAGGTTAAGAAGATAAGATCATGTCTACCACAATGTAATTATTAGGGTCAGATCAATAAAGTAAATGAAGGAGAGAAAGTTTAAAATGAACAACTGAAAAGAAAACCTCGTAAATTGAACATTTATATTGTAATTGTACTTATAGACATTATGTAAGATTTCTTATATTAACAAGGTTATGCTGAAATACATAAAGCCTTGAGAAATTTTTTAAAAATGCAAAATATTTTAGGACCTTTTTCAAAAACATATTAAAAATAGTGCAATGTAAAATCTTAAAAATTAAAGTCACATAATTAAAGTTAAAATATATTTTTATTAGTTTAATAGTAAATATTTCTCTATTTTTTTTAATTGTTATTGTTGGTAATTTAAATCACTAATTTCCATTAGCCACATTAACTTAACAATTTTCAAAGCAAAATTATTTTCAAGCGTTAATATTGTTCTGTTCCAGATAAACATTGCAAGATAATTTATAAATTTAATGATCAAAATTCTTTATAATGTATAACCTCATGTTTCAAGGTTTGTGTTATGAAGACCTTCTAATATATGCATGCTGCTTCTAATATATACATGTCACTAACTGCTATATTATGAACTCGAAAGGAGACACTAAATATTCTACAAAGAAATTGCTATAAAGATCTTCTGCCAGCTGCAATGCAGACTTACATGACTGCAGGGAGAGACGTAAATTTATTATTACAGCAAGCAATTTCTTTGAGTAATTCTTAGTACATCAATCATATTCCCTTGAATAAAAAGTTTTCTAAAGCATCTTTTTTCTCATTCTTGTATTTATTCTTTAAATGTGACCAGGGTTAAAAAGATTTTGCCGCAGGTGGAAAAAACCATGGTAAATACCGGTAAAAACCGTCCTGGCAAAAACAGGTTTTTGCCAAGCAAAGTGGCAAAAAGTGGCAAAAACCTATATTTTCCAAGATGAGAGGACAAAAACACATTTTTGATACAAAATTATTCCTAAAATTGAAATATATACTATGAATATAAATAATTACAAAAAAATTAACAAAACTATTATTCCATAATTAAATGATAATGTAATAATATATCATTTTAGTAGTTTAAAACATTATTGATTGGAAAATTTGTGATTATTCTCTTTTTTCCAGTGAAATGAACTTATTTTAAATTAATATAACTATAATTTAAAGCATAAAATATCTATCAACATGTGTAGTTAATTATTGTACAAATAATAATTTTTTATAATAAATAATAATATTATACAAATAATAATATTTATTTATTTGTAAAAAAACATTTATTTTAGGATTCTAAAATGAAAAGAGATCAAAAACTTTCAATCTTTTAAAAATTATTACCCTTATATTAATTATTAATATGTTAAAAATAATTTTTTCATGTAATGTATCAAAATTATTATTCCTTATGATTGATTTAAATTTGTTTCAAGTATTTTGTAATAATATTTAATCAGCAATTTAGATATTTTGGTTTTTGCCGGTTTTTACCACTGTCCTGGCAAAAAACCCATTTTGCCGGCAAAAACTCCAACCCTGAATGTGATAATAGAAAACATCTTTTAACTTCTCACTTATTGTGTTCTAGTCATACATTCTATCAATCAGTTAAGTTTTGCCATTTTGTACCGACACGCTGTCCATGCAATAAGTATAATTTTTATTTTAAATTAAATACATTTTGTTGAACATTTGTAAAGATTAAGATAAAATTATGTGTTTAAAGTTATAAAAACTGAAACTGTGTTATTTATATTATAGGAAATTGCCCATCTATTTAAAATTGGAGCAGTCATCTTATTTATTGATAATTTTCACAGCAATGTATCAGAATCAGTGCAAGAAATTTCAAAACAAACTGGATTGAAAATAGTTATGGGACCTGAAGTAGAAAGCTTTCGCATGGTATCAAAATCAAATCGAAGTACTTTCGGCTGTAAACCTTTAAGGGACGCTCGTGTTACAGTAATCGGTTTAATAAAAACTGATTTGCCAATAAAAGCCATTTCAAATTGTCTAGATTCAGATGACGATTGGGATACTGAAAGTGAAGAGTCGAATGAAAAGACGTCTAAGGTAGGCCATTGCCATAAATTTACACAAACTGATATGAAAGAAGTGACGTCAGTAAATTTGGAGGAACTTAATGAGTTAGTCAATGCATTAGAAGATTTGATGTCAATTGTGGCTAAATTTAAATCAAGAGAAAACAGATGTTGTAATTGTATTAGACCTTAGGTATATAAAGCTGAAAGGTGTTTTGTGAACATTATCAAAATTATACTTGTACTTATAAACAAAACAAAAAATAAAGCTTTTATGGAAAAAAATATTTTTTTAAACATTTTATTTTTAAGAATATGAGAAGATAATGTGTTTATAGAAACATATACAGCTATTTTAAGTAACTAATTTGTCTTTCGAAAAAATATTTTAAACTAAGTATATCATTCAACCCTAAATAATAAAATAATGCCCAATACTTAAATATTAAGAAAAATTACATTTGAAACTTTTCTTATCGAAACTTAACAAATTTAAAATTTGTTAAGTTTCTTGGGATTGCGAAGATAACGAGTCTCCCTTCAAATAAAATAAATGCATAGAAATCAAACTAAAACAGAAAAGAAAAAAACATTAATGTTCGTTCAGTTCGGGCGCCATCTGTGGGCATTCAAGTTGATGTTTCACATACATTATGATATGGATTAAACTCTTCATTTTTACTGGAAGAACTCTAATCCTTTCTACTAATTAGGAAAGAAGTAAAAGATAATAGATATTTGAAATATGTTATTACCAGTTAATTGGTTAGATCCTTGGGCTCAGGGTAGAATTAATCTCTCAGTGGGTCGATAAAATGAATACCAAGCCTGCTTGGGAACTAAACACGGGGGGGTTCCGCATTGGGCTGACCACCTAACTGGAACATCTGCCCTTGCATCCCAGAGCCCAAAGATCAAGAAAACTGAGATGGGTACAGTAGGCCTTGGTCCTCTAAGGGTTGTTGCATCACTGAGTTTAGTTTTATTAACTATTAAAAATGTTATCTGTAATAAGCTGTTCTGCCAAAATAGTCAGCCAAGGGTGGTCTTTTCAAGAACTTTCTACCAGGCCACTCTTTGGTTAGCCATAGTTTTCCAATTAATCGCTCTCAGGTTGGCCAAATTCTTTCTAGGTAGTTAACACATTTGTCACGTACCTCTTATATATGTAAGATTGGCGAAAAATATTTTTGTGTTGATCATTCATTGTCTACTCTAACATTTTTAATTTGGATTTTTGTGTGTTTTATGTCAGGTTCTTAGAAGGCACAGTATAGTTCTAGATTTGAGCATCAGGTGCAAAACGCACAGATTTGCATTCCGCCAAAAATAGCTTAGTATTCGCTCATGAACATAGTATTAAGCTAATTCAATTTTCTAAAGTTAAACTTGTACAAAGTTATGCTTGTGGATTGAGTTTTTTACAATTTTATTTTTCAAAGTGATGCTTTATAACATATTAACAGTGAAATTGTTAAAAATTTTGCTTTGTGTTCAGCTATGAATAAAAAATTGCTGTTTAATAAAAAAATCAAAATTTTTTTTTGTAGTTTGCTGAAATGAGGGGGGGGGGGAAATTTAAGGGGATGTCTTTATCAGTTAAAGGCAGGAAAAGCATCTCCGAAAAAGAAAACGTTTAATTAAAAAAAATAATACACTGGAGGTTATGCCGTACCGATCGTTGTAGCTTACCAAAAAAATCTAAGAATATTTTTAATACATTTTACATATTGCAAGCTTGTAGAAAATGCATTCTCTATAGTATGTGATAGATAATTTTAAATAATTGCCACTGATCAAGCACGTTCCTGGGGTTGAGATTGGCTGGAATAGTGGCCAGACACGGATTATACGGGTAAGGGTTTTACTAACCTAGGTACTTATCCGTGTCTGGAAGGAAAGAAAAGTACCCGATTGAATGAGTAAAATGAAAGAAAAATATGTTAAGCTTTAAAATAATAACAACATTTATGTGCACACAAAGCAATTGTAACATTTATTTATACTCAATGCATAAAAATTACACACAGGCATCTGAAATACTGAATTAAAGTCTACAAAATCTAATTTACATAGTAGCTTTCACACACATATAAGCTCACATATTATCTTTGTAGAAGTGGAAAAATTACTCTGAACTATTTACAGTTGTTTTTACTTTATAGATACATTTTCTTTGAGTTATATGAATAGATAGACATTTATGGTTGGACTGGATAGTGATTTATAAATTGTAAATTTTTACTTCTTGGCATTAATTTAAAAGTAGATGATAATCTTTGATTAGTAAAACTTAATTTTAAATGGATGCTACAATTAATTGAAAGTAAAATTTGTCTTTTTAAATTACTCTCACAGTTCCTTTATCTTGTAACTTCTGATTAAAAACAGGATGAAGAATATTTATTTATTCATTAAGCACATTACAAAAAGTTGTTAATATATTTAAAAAAAAAAAAAAAAAACTAAATTGAATACATGAATTGTTGCTATTCAGATTTATAATCATAAATGTTGAAATACACATCGGAAGATGACTGAGTTTAGTCTGGCATGGCATGTAACATCGAGATGAATATCTGGTGATCTCAGCATACAAATTTGTGTCTAGCTAACACATTTTCACTTGTGGTTGAGTAGCAAAAAATACACACAACATTTTTGTCTATTTATTTCGTTTAAGTTATTAATGAAAAGAAAGAAACTTTTTGTAATGTACTTTACAATTAAATAATATTTTTCATGTTTTATTATCAAAAGTAACAAGCAAAGAAATCATAGAAATCATTTAGTAAAATCTTGTAATTCATGATATTAATAAAAAAAAATTAAAACAGTTGAATTGTTTTTGTTACACTCAATTAATGCCATGAAGTTGTAGTTTATGTTTGAACATAAAATGGCTTAAAACCATTGATATACTGACAAATCAAATTACGTTTAGATTCTAATCTAATGCAAACTATAGTCTAATATATTAATGGACAGAATGTTTTTTTGAATTCAAAATTTAACATGAATAAATCATAAAAAAGTATCCACGATAATTTTTGCTTGTTTGTAATATTCTAAAAAGATATACGAGAGATAATTTATCACAAAATTAATTATTTTAAAGAGTTATTATTCCTTATATGACACTTTGAAAGTCACAGAAGTGTCAGATTTAGTAGAAATAGGCAGAGTAAATTTCGATGAAAGACGCATATATAAAATTAAAGGTGCTTAAAATATACAATTAGAACACAGTGACAAAATCACAAGCTTTTAAAAATTTCAAATAAAATATCAAAGGTGAGATCTTTCTACTATTAAGTTGGTGAATGATTTTAATGTAACACATTAAATACAGTAATAAAAACCTGGGGTTAAACTACCCAGCTAATTGAGCACAAATTAAGATTTATCGTAAATATAATATGTGGCCATCAAACAAATAAATATACATTTTGATTTAGAAAATAATATATTTTTTTAAACCAAAACCAAAGTTTTGGTACTGGTGAAGAATCAATTGAAATATGTGACCTTGCAAAAAAAAAAAAGAAAAAAAAAAGGTTACTATAATTTTTAAATGATATAGTATATTATATGGAAATAGAGTTAACTTTCTATACATATATAAACTTCCAAAACAAACGTTTTGTAGTTGTAACAATATTTCGTGAAAAGGTTAATAATGCTAAGAGTATTCACACTGTTTAATATTTTATAAAAGGTGGGTTTCTATATTACATACACAGAGAATTGATTGAACATTAAGTCTTAAAGATTACCATTTTGAGTTTCATTGTAAATCACATTTTAAATCTCAAAAAAAGGATACTTTTTTTTCTCGCAAAGATGTGTCGAATAAGTTTAATAGATAATGTTTTAAAAATAATTCATACTTTGAGTTAAAAAGAAATATATGAGCAATAATTACACATCAAAAGTGAAACTTTTTTTTCTATTTTAACCTGTAAATTACTTTCTTGAATTAGATATTTTCCCTAACTTTTTTATTTTCTTTAGCATACAATAGAAGTGCACAAACTGCAGCCCATAATGTGGCCCTTGAATGGTTTATATGCAGCCCTATCTATCGAATCAAATCAGTTATAAAAATTAGACGAAACATGTCAATAATAACAAAGAAATCCTGATCTTATTCACAATTGAAGCATTTATAATTTTAAAACCAAGGATTTGTTTGAAAAATAAAAGGGCTAACCCAAACATAGTAAAAAATATTAAAATTGTAACCGAAAGACAAGCATATTTTCGACTACATAATTTTAAAAAAAAATTCATTTCCTGGATAATATAAATTGTTTTTATGTTATTTTATAAAAGCAAAATACCATTTTGTCTTTGCAATACATAATATGCTGACTCCAAGAAATTTTTAACTTAAGCAGAGACCTGTTCACGCATTTGCATTTAAACAACACTCAAATAAGGATCCATATGCAAACTGCTGTTGGCAAACTAGTGTAAATCATTTGTCTACTAAGCTTTTCTAACTCCCATTTAAAAAGTTTCACTTTAAAAAATATCAGATACCAGTAAAATTAGGCATTTCATAAACTGTAAATATCCCTGAAAACTGTTTACAATAATAAAAGAAAAAAAAACCCAACAAATTATTTTTATTTAATGACATTAATAATAGCAATGTGAAAAATACCAAAATGGTAACCTATTAAGAAAAAGTATTAACACACTATTTAAGTATAATTTAACTAGTTTTCTTTTTTGGTCCTGCTAGTTAGTTACAAGTAATGTAATGCAAAATTTACTGGGAAAAAAAGGAAGAAATGGCATTAGTAATGAATTAAATATATTAAAAGTTCGTCTTTGTGTATGATCTAAGCTTCACTCTACATAGCACCACTAAATGTGTACATAGCGTAAGTGCTCTCGTAAAGCAAAAGGCCACATTTCAGATTGGGTAAAAACTTATATAAGAGATGAAAAAGAAAAGTAACTAAGAATTTTGATAATTGTTTGAGAATAAAATCAAAAGCACTCAATCAACAACAAAACTCAGTTCACATAAAGAAATTCGCAATCAAACACAGTTGAGATGAGAAAATTAACAGTCAAATTCATTTCATATGAGAAAATTCATAGACAAACTCAGTTTCATTTTACTCATTAAGAGTAAATTTACAGTCAAACTCAGTTCATACAAGAAAATTCAAGTTTTGATTTTACTCATTAAGAGTAAAATCGAAAACATAGCAAAACTCAGGTCATACTGAAAATATGTTATTTAATATCACACCAGGCCAAAAAAAAAAAA